TGGTTGGAGGAAGTGAGGAACCCTGTATTGGGGTGAGTTGGGGGAGTGAAGTGTCCTATAGGGTTTTTTGGGGTGAAGTGAGGTGCCCTCTATTGGGGTAAATGGGGGGGCAAGAGGATGCCCTATAGAGAGGTTTGGTGGGGGGAGTGGGCAAGAGAGTGGGGAACCCTTTAGTGGGGTTATTAGGGCAAAGTAGGGTGTCCTATAGAGGTTTTTGGGGGGAATGGGGCACCCTGTAGGGTAGTTTTGGAGGGAGTGAGGAGCCCTTTAGTGAAGTTACTGGGGGGGAAGATGGGAGTGCCTTATAGGGAGGTTTCGGGGGACTCAGGAGCTCCAGAATGGGGTTATTGGGGAGCCCTCCGATGGGGTTTTGAGGGGGTGGGTACCATGTAGGAGGGTTCCGGGGGATCCCTGTAGGGGATTTGGTGGGGGTGTAGCTCCATAAGGACCTGGGATCGGGGGTTTTCCACAGGGCTGGAGGGGTTTTTGGGGGGACAGGGGCACCCTGTGGGGTTCAGGGAGGAGGAGGGAGGTCTTGAGAGGGGGCAGACTTTGGAGCCCTGGGAGGTTCCTGGAAGGGGTTGAGGACCTATTTTGGGGTGCAGAGAGGGCACAGAGGGGTCCTGTGTGGTGGGCAGGGCCTGGGGGGGGTCCAGGGAGGATGGGGGAGGCCTGGAGGGGTGGGATCCCATAGGAAGGGGATCAAGAGACCCCTGTGGGGGATTTAAGGGGAGTCAGAATGAGGTCTGAGGGTTGGGGGCTGCAGGGGGGTGTAGGAGGGATTTGGGGACACAAGTGAACTCTCCAGTGTGCTGGGAGAAGACCTTGGGAAGTGAAGGAGATGAGGGGGTTTGGGGGTGCTGTGGGCCCCCCAGTATACATATATTTGGATATGCTTTTGTTTGGAATCTGCAAGGAATGGGAAAAGCTAAGGGCTGTTGGAAAACTGTGGAGGGACCGTGGAGAGGGGGAAAAGGGGGTTCTCAGTCCTGGGTCTGGGGTTGGAGTTCTGGAAGCCCAAGGGTGAGTTCCAGAGGGAACGAGGGGCAGGGAGAGGGGTTTGTGGCAGGAGCTGTGGGAAACACGATGGGAAAAGCCTCCTTGGGTGCCTGGGATGTGGTTGGAGTTGGAGGAGCTCCCAGATGCCACTGGGGGCTGCAGGAAAATCCAAGAGTATTTCCAACAGGTGTCTCAGTGCTGCTGGTCTGCTCCAGAGGGGACTGAGTGCTCCCCTTCTGGCTTTTCCCTGAGCCTGGCTCTTCCTCATGCCAAAGCTGGGATGCTCCAGCTCATCCTCCTGAAGGAAGAGACTGGAATTCTGTGAAGGAATTTCCTGGCATCCCTTGCTTTCTTGTCATTATTGAATGGCATTTTTTAGGGAGGGCTCCACCTTGGGCTCACAGGGGGGCTGGGAGAGAGGAACTGGGGCTTCCACAAGGGTCTCTTCCATGAGGAGATGGTGTTGGCATGGAAGAGGGTCTCCATGCTGTGCTCCCTGCTCTGTCCATCCTCATGAGAACAGATAGTGCAGAAATCCGTGCAGTCCATGAATTGTCAGTTCTGGAAGGGGGTGGGGGTATTTGCAACAGTGATACCAACCTCGTGCGTGAGGGCAAGGAGGCCTTTCCTGGGAGTTCTTTTCCATCTAGGTGAGGGAATGCTCCTCTGGCTGAGCCACTTCTTGCCAGAGGAAATACTCTGGTGTAAAAAGTGCAGATTTGGTGGTGCTGGTTCAAACCAGTGACTGGGCTGTGCTGGGTAGGGCTGTAAAACTCAATCTGGAGTCAGGAAAACTGGGATCAGCATTAAATAACCCCAAAAAGAGACTTGTGGCTTTCCTGGGATCACGGATGACCCCAAGCTTGGCTGGGCAGGGACACGGGAGTGGAGGAACTCACTGGCAACGAAACCTTCTCCCGGTTTGCTCCTGGGCTGTGTCAAGCCCATAAATACTTCCCTCTGGATTCGTTTTCCTTAATTTTCCCCCTTCCAGAATGCCCTTCGTCCAGTGGGAAGCCCAACCACGCAGACATTCTGCTCGTAAACTTACAGTATGTGTCAGAAGTGGAAATAATCAATGACCACACGGAAACGCCTCCCCCCTTAGCTTCCCTGAACGTCAGCAAGGTAGGGGGGCACTGGGAATTCCCTCCTCCTGCTGGGATTGGGGGGGGATATTGGGCGCTGGAACTCACCTGCTTCCATTGCAACTGCCCATAGTTCTGTTTTGGGTCTGGGTTTGGGGATTTGGGGTCTGGGTTTGGGGATTTGGGGTTTGGATTTTGGGTGGGTTTGCGACCTGGATTTTGGGGATTTTGGATCTGGATTTTGGATGTTTTGGGGCCTGGATTTTGGTGGGTTTGGAGTCTGGGTTTTGGCATTTGGGGCCTGGATTTTGGTGGGTTTTGAAACTGGATTTTTTAGGACCAAGATTTTGGGCATTTTGCATCTGGATTTTGTTGGCTTCGGGTCTCAGTTTTGTCGGGTTTAGGCCCTGGATTTTGATGGGTTTGGGTTTTGGTGGGCTTAGGGTCTGGATTTTGGGGCAATTGGCCCTGGATTTTGGCAGTTTAGGCCCTGGCTTTTGGGCATTTTGGATTTGGATTTTAGCCATTTTGGGCCCTGGATTTTGGGTATTTTGGATCTGGATTTTGGTGGATTCAGGGTCTGGATTTTGGTGGGTTTAGTCTCTGTATTTTGGTGGGTTTGGGGCCTGAATTTTGATAGTTTTGGGGCCTGGATTTGGGGAATTTTGGATCTGGATTTTGGGTGGTTTTGGGGCCTGGATTTTGGGTGGTTTATGTCTAGATTTTGGGCATTTTGGGTCTGAAGTTGTGGTGTTTTGGGGCCTGGGTTTTGGTGTTACAGATCTGGATTTTGGGTGGTTTTGGGGCCTGGATTTTGGTATTTTGGGGCTCTGGATTTTGGGTGACTTGTGTCTAGATTTTGGACATTTTGGGTCTGGGTTTTTGGTGCTTTGGGACCTGGGGTTTGGGGCCTGGATTTTGGTATTTTGTGTCTAAGGTGACGGCATTCTGGGGCCTTGATTTTGGCATTTGGGGTCCAGATGACAGTATTCTGGGGCTTGGATATTCTGGTATTTTGGGGCCTGGATTCTGGCAGTTTGGCTCTAAGTGATGGTGTTTGGGGCCTGGATGAAGCTGACTGGTGGCACAGCAGACAGGAGGGACAAAGCACATGTGGATTTCGAGGAATCCCTGGAATGGGATCGCTGCTGATTCCCAGCAGTGCCGTCAGAGAAAGGGAAGGTGACCCCAAGCCCTCGGTGCTGGGATGAGTCTAGGTGTGGGGGCTGGCTGTAGGGGGCTCAGCTGTCACCTCCTCATCCCACAGGGACACTTCTCCCAGTGGTTGGTGTCACACAGGTGGCACCAGCCGGGTGTCTGTCCCTTCCCGATGGATTAGGGTTAGATTAACACATCGGAGGAGGTCTGGGGTGACACAGCTGTTATCAAGATGTGACTGTTGGCTGTCACTGCATCCAGTGATATCACTGGGAACGAAGCCCAAGGGGAAACCCCTCAGGAATTCCAACACTCTGGTCTTTTCCAGCATCCACATAATTGTGGGGAAGTAATGGATGGTCGTGTTCCAGCCACTGGAATGTCCATGTTCCCAATCCAATGGCAGGAGAGGGGTTCTGAGAGGCTCTGACCCCACGTTTCCTTCCCCATGGATGCACAAGCATCTGGTGTTGCTGCAGGACTGGAGTATGGATGGCTGATTCTGGTTGTACTGGGAGAAGATTTCAGAATTTGGGGTCTGGATTTTGGCGTTTGGGGGTCTAGATGGTGGTGTTTTGTGTGTTGGCACAATGGGAATTGTGGTGCTCCAGGTGCTCCTCTGGAAGGCCCGAGAGAGGAAGCAGAGCTCCAGAGAACCTCGCCTGGTTCTCAGTGGAGAGTGTTGGGAGCAAAGGCTTGGAAAACAGCAGGATCCGGAACCCCTGTTGGAAAGGGATGGGGGGCAGTGGTGGGAGGTGATCCCCCAAGCTGTGCTTGGCACCTGAGTGGGATAAGGGGCCATTCCGGCTTTGGGAGGCCCTGGAATGGCCCTTGGTGGCCCTCACCCTCTCCTTGTGCCTTGTTGTTATCCTGATTTAATGGGAAGTGGCAGAGCTGTGCCTGGGGGGGGTCCCTTTGTCCCCTCAGAGCTCCGGGGTGACACCCAGCCAAATTCCCTCTCCCTGTGTTCTCCCAGCTTGCCAACAAAGCACGGACGGAGAAGGAAGAGAAGATGAGCCAGGCATATGCAATTAGTGCTGGTGTCTCCCTGGAGGGGCAGCAGCTCTTCCAGACTATCCATAAGACGTAAGTCCCTTCCCTCGGGATCACTAGTCCCTCCCACGCTCTGTTTTGGGGTCACTTGTAACCTTTTTTGGGGGGAATTCCCATTGCTTGGTCCCTTGGGTTTGCCATGGAATGGTGCTGATGTGTGTCCTGGGATGTGCTGGATGGAGCCATGGAATCCTCAGGGAGGGAAGATGGCTCTCTTCCTGCTCCCTGCCCCTTCCTGGCACATCCCATCCCCTTGACTCCCATCCCTCTCAAGTTGGATACCCTGGAGCGACTGAGGGGCTTTTTGCTCCCCCTCAGTGAGACACTGCACGGCAGGTGGTGGCTTTCCCAGGTCAGGCAGCATTCCCTGATCCCATTTTTCCCTCCCCTGCAGCATTAAAGACTGTAAGTGGCAGGAGAAGAACATAGTTGTGATGGAAGAAGTCGTTATTGCTCCTCCGTACCAGGTGGAAAACTGTAAAGGCAAAGAGGGAAGCGCCCTGAGTCACGTACGGAAAATAGTGAGTATGGGGAGGACTGGGGATACTGGGAATACTGAGAGGGTGTTACAGCCCTGGGGACACCTGTGGTCCATCCCTGGGTGGGCTCCAGCCCCTCCTGGGCATCACCTTCCCGCTCCAAATCCCCTTCCCATCATTTTTTGAGTCACATCACAAAATAGTGAGTACAGGTTGGGGGGGACTGGGGACACTGGAAGGGTGTCACATCCCTGGGGGCCCCTGTAGCCCATCCCTGGGTTGGTTCCAGCTCCTCATGGGGCTCTCCAGCCCCTCTTGTGGATCTCTTTCCCACCCTGAATCCCCTTCCCACCCTTTTCTGAGTCACATACACAAGAATGAGTAGGGACTGGGGATACTGGGAATACAGGCAGGGTGTCACATCCCTGGGGACAGCCAGTATTCCTCCTTGTTTGGTCTCCAGTCCTTCCTGGTGATCTCCAGCCTCTCTTGGGCATCCCTTCCCACCCGATGGATCCCCTTCCTGCCCCAGATCCCCTTCCCACCCTTTTTTTAAATACATTAAATAGTGAATAGGGACTGGGGGGACTGGAGACACTGGTTATACTGGCAGGGTGTCACATCCCTGGGGACACCTGTGGCCCATCCCTGGGTAGATTCCAGCCCCTTCCCACCCCATATCCCGTCCCCACCTTTTTTTTTTCCCCCTAAACACATCTTTTTCTCCCCCCCATCCCACCCTTCCCAATGCAGGTGGAGAAACATTTCCGGGACGTGGAAAGCCAGAAGGTCCTGCAGCGTTCACAAGCACAGCAGACACAGAAGGACACGTCCCTGTCATCCTGAGGCCATCTCGGGATGAGATCGCCCTGTCCCCGTTGTCCCCTCCCTCCTGGGAGGCGGCGCCAGGGGCACCTTCACGCTTTT